ACATCACCTCTGCTGGGAAGTGCCCTCTCTGAGCCTAGAATTAATTGCTCTTTCTTCTCTATAGCTCTTGTATTCCTGTCTCCCTGCACTATAAGGACTTCTTTCCACATTTGTCTCTTCTCTTAGGATGTATGTTTCTTTAGGACATGAAGCTTTCTGTAATTGCAGTGCCTGGCACATGTAGGTATCCAATAAATGCTTTTGGACTGAATTGAATCACATGGTGTGTGTGTAGCCATGAGATAACTATGCCTATGTTTAAGGAAGGGGCAGGAGGAGTGACAGGCATGTATGTGGGTATCTCTGTGTTTGGATTTAAACTCAACAATGTTTCCAGAGGGCTATTTGGAGCCAGTGGACTGTGACAAGCTGCTGACCATTTTCTCAACACCAAGCAAACTTGCTCTGCTGAGGGCTGCAAAGCCACCTGGGCCTGAGGCTGGACTGCTCCACTCTCTAGTTCTCCATGCTTTCCTTCCCGTCGCTCCAAGTCCCACTTGGGGTCCCTCAGTCTTCAGGTTCTGCAACAGGGTGGGTGGTGGGTGAGGATGAGGCCCCCACCTGGGTGTCCACTGGCTGCCAGCCAAGAAGCTGATCAGTGGGAGCCCCAGGCTCCAGACCAGGGGAGACCCTTCCTTCTAGTCCATGTTGACTGCTCTCTTCTTCACCTGCCAATTTATATCAGGCCGTTGTCTGTGTTGGTGATGGGGCGCACTGGCCCCACTCCCGGTGAGCCTTGAGGGGGATCAGAGGATGCTATGGCTTGGGAGTGGACAGAGGCCAGTCTGAGGCAAGGAGACAGACATTTAACCAGTTGAGCTCCACTGGAGAAAGGCCTCCTCCATGTTCTTGATATTCCTCATCTACTTAAACTCTGAGGGGGTGGTCTTTTCCTGGGACAGGAGAGGGTGGCCAGTGGAGAAGGGAAGATGAAATATGAGCGAGATGCCTTCCAACTCCGGCCACCGTGTCTCCTGCGAGCCAGGCCCAGCACAGAGGCCCTTTGCAATCAGCAACTCCAACACATGTTGCCCCCACTCCAGCCATTTCCATCAACAATGAACATGAAGTCCCCCCTTGCTTTCAGGACGGGAGGAAGTTGCCACAGGTGTGGGGGTCTGCTGTGCGCAGGCTCCAGGTACAGTTGCACGAAATTCTCCCCAAAGTCCTGGGCAGGTGCTATTAATAGCCACATTTAGGAGAGGGGACGGGAGGCTCCAGGAAGCTCTAAAGTGTGGCCAGGAGCCCGGAGCTTCTGCTCTTTTCTCTCCTGTTCTGTCTCCTGGAGCACTGATGTCTGATCTCTGGGAGCTGCCCCTTCAGAGGAGACACACACTTCACCTGGAGATGTAAATGGCCACTTAGGAACATGTGACCCACCCCCCTCTCCCAACACCATGCTGGGGCTCTCCCATCCTCAGCCAGGACTCTCTGCCCCAACCCTCTTCTCCTTCCTATTCCTTTCCTTCCAGGACACTGATCCCCCCAAACCCACTTCATCTGTCCATGCAGTGATACAAGAATGCTCCACTGCATTCTGGGGAAAAAGGAGGGAACATAGAAGGATGGACCTGGAATGAGTGCTCCCTTGGTTTCCCAGGTGACAGTGACCTTGAACAGATCCTTTAAGTTCTTAGCCTCAGTTTCCTTATTTGTAAACAAAGCTCCAACTCCCAGAGTTTTACAAAGGAGATTTAAACAAGATGTGTCCACCGCTGTGTTGCAGGCATTCAAGAATTGTTTAAACATGAATAAGAGGGGCCTCCCCTGGTGGCACAGGCGGTTTGAGCACTGCACTGTGAAGCTGTCCGCAGCCTCTGCAGCACTGGTTCCATCCCGGCCAACTGGCGAGAATCCCACATGGCGAGGCAGACCTCTCCTGACTCGCCCGCTGCTCCCCCCCACCCTCCCCGCAGTGTACTTCGTCAGTCTGACTTTTTTGTTCCCGCTCTGCTCTGGTGAATCCTCTCACCCTCCTGTGCATCTGGCCTGTACCCCAGTTCATGTATAAATTAATCAATAAATCTTTAAAAAAAATGAACAAGAGGGGTTAGAGTTTGGCTGGGTGGGGGAGGTGAGAGTGGGGTGGGTGGGGTGGGAGAGGATGGAGCTGGTGTGGGTGGAAGGGATGGTGGGGACAGAGGAGTGACGGCATTGAGGGCTGTGGAGAGACACTTAGGCCACCTCAGAGGTGTGCTGGGCCTCAAGGTCAGGGCCCCACTTGCCAACGGCCCTGGCTTTCTCTCAGAACTTGGGCAGTTTCCCTTTTGCTTCCACTTCTCCTCCTGGCTGGCCCCTGCTTGTCTTCAGGTCTCAGCTAGGACCTAGCTTCCTCCAGAAAGCCTTCCATACTTCCCTCCCCACTGGACCAGGTGCCTCTCCTCTGCGCCCCCACTGTCCTGGGCCAATCTCTCTGGCAGCAAGCTGTGTTGCCTATTCATTTCTCCCTCTTCTAGGCTAGATTTTAAGTTTGCAGACAAGGTTCCCCTTGCCAGAGCCTAGCACAGTGCCTGGTGCAGAGCAGGTACTTAATAAATACTGGTGAATGAATAAGATTTACCCCAGCGTGGGTGCAGGGAAAGATCAAACCCCAATGTGGGCTCTTGACAGATGAGAAATGAACTTCTGAAGAGCTGCTAAATAGGATGGCAACCCAGGCAGGGGAGGCAGGGAGGAGAACCCAGGTGCTGGGGTTCCAGGGTTGGAGTGACACGGTCCCATTAAGCATGTTTCTCACTTCACTCCCAGGCTTTTCTGCAAGGGGGGTGGCCCTCCAGGTTATACTTGCTCTGGGTGTTATGTAGTCTGCCCACCACTTTGCATGCCCACCTATGCGTGTGTGCAGACACTAAGGGGTCTTGGGTAGATATTTGTGTCCTTGGTTTGAATGAACGTTGGTGGAAGCAGAGCTGCCTGGTGTGTGTGTGTGTGAACACATACATACATGGTGGCAAGTTTGGTGTGCATAAGTGTCTTTGTGTATGCAGGTCTGGGTGTGACACCTTTTTGTGCACATCTCTGTGTGCAGCACAAGTCCAAGGATGCGCTGTATCTGAGAGTGTGTATGCGCTTGCACAGACATGAGTGTGCCCACTGGGGCCAGGCGGGGCCATGTGTGTCCTGTCACTGTGCTCTGATTAGCCTTTGCTTGGAAGCATTTAGGTGACGATTTACAGCCGCACCTGACCCTGGCCTCTCTGCCCCGCACTGCGTGTGCTGCCACGGCTGCCCCCTGGCCCCTGCCCACCCCCTGCCCCCGGCCACATAACTGTGATTTATGGCTGGCCTGTGGGGAGCGCCCCCCCACCATCGCCCACCTCACGCTGCTCCTGCACCAGATGGGCTGCCTGCTGTCCCTGGAGCAGCTCCGCCAGGCAGGGTGAGGCAGGATGACTGCCGCTAGGCCCGCTCGGACCCCGCCCTCACCCACTGTCACCCCTTTCAGAACCCTGTCATCCTGTCTTGGGCTTGTTCTTAGCTGTTGGGATTGTGAACTGAGATGGGAGGTCAGAGTCTGTGACATAGAACAGAAACCGCCCCCCGTCCTCCATTCATCTCCACCTCAGACACAGATAGACAGACAGATGGACAGACACGCACAGATAAAAGTACCGACAGGTCCTCATGCAAGGATGCTCATAAGGTCAAGTCTGACAAGCGCATGTGCATGTGCGCGTGCATGAGCACACACAGTGAGTGTTTGTGGGGGATCTGCATATGTGTGGGGGCTGGGAAGGGAGCCAGGCCCCCTGCAGCTAGGCCAAGCCTCTCCCACTCCCCGCTGGGTCCCTGCCGCCCTTCCCCTGTGTCTGCCCTCCCCGATGCCAAAGGGTATCTTCTCCAGCTCATGCCAATTCATTATGAAGGTCCACTCAACCAGCAAGGGCATTTCTGGGGGTGTCTTGGGGTGAGCCCTTGGGGCTAGGGCCCAACCTTGTACCCCCAGGCTGGCATTGCTGGGTGCAGGGAGGGGGGTGGAGAGACCCTGGGCCGTGTCAGGCTGAAGGTGAGTGCTGGAAACAAAAAGATTGGAGTAAATTATTATTCCCCCCATGGCTTTCCCAAGGAAAGTAGAAGCAGCAGCCCGAGGCCCGTTTTCCTATTTGATGGGGAATCAGATAAATGGCAGGCAGCTTGCTCTGATAAGGCCTTGCTCTGGGCACAACCTCTCTCTCTGAAACCCTCTTACTATGCATAGAGGAAGGCTATCTGTGCAGCTGCACCTTGACACAAATATATCTGCACCCGAGATGAAGCAATTCCCCAGAAATTACAGCAGGGGGATTGCATCTGAGGAGGGGCCCTGGGGAAGGGTGGGGGCTGTGGGGGGGCGGGGGAAGGAGAGGCCTGGGGAGGCAGGGAGGAGAAGCAGGAGGCGTCTGGGAGACTGGGAGTGGGGAGGAAGAGGTCAAGAGGACCGCGGCGGGGAGGGGCTTGGAAGCATCTCTATCACATTTATACATGTTCCCCTTCCAAGCAGCTTTCACAGAAATTTTCTTTTCCTCCTGCATCATCTTAATAGGGCAACCCTCACCCCCTCCTTCCCCAGCGCTGCCCCTACCATTCTCCTCTGTCCACAGAATTAAAAATAAAATATGTGGACAATAAAACAGATTCTACAATTAGTTGTCTAAACCAAGGAGTCTCAATGGCCTTAACGTTTTTTCTTTTCAGAAGACCAGTGGGGGAGGGCATGTGATTTAAATCAAGGGGAACATAAATGAATATTTTTGAAAAGACAGCATGAAGTTCTGACTTTTCAAGTTGTCACATGACTCTGCAAGCACATGTGCTTGCACGTAAGCAAAAGTGGGCACGAATATGACTGTGCTTGTCCGCCAGGATTCTAACGTGTGCCACTCTTATGCACACACACTCTCATGCACGCTTTTCTTTTCACTCAGCCTGACAATACCCTGGGCTCTCCCTCGCCCCTACTGTCATTGTCTGCCTGTCTCTGCGAGCTTGTACACCCTGTTTTCCTCTTTCCTCCTCTGCAGAACTGGAACCTCCAGCCCCTTCGGAAGTCTCCAGAAGCCCCCGGTCCTGCTAAGAGAAGCTTGAGTGAGAGACGTCCATCATGCACAAGGGACCTTGACTCCTGCCAGACGCCACCTCCTCACAGACTGGACAAAGATGCTCAAGGCATGGGCAGGAGGCTTGGCGGCACAAGTTCATGGGGAAGGGCAGTGGGGCCATGTGGTGGGGGTCTTGTCCCCAAAGCTCTGGGTCTTTGGGTATATTTGGGCATGTCGGGGTGGGGTGGGCAACAGGAGGCATTGCGTGTGCAGGGGTGTATGTGAGAAGAAAGTGAAGTGTGTGCATACGGGGATGGTCCCCTCCCTCTGCAAACTGGCACCTGTCTTGCTTGGGTCTGACTGTTGAGCAGCTGCGAGACACAAGAGTCGGCCGACAGATGCCACGGCCAGGCCTTTGTCTGAGCAAGAGAAAAATCACACCCTCCCCTTAAGCCCCTGCGGCGCTGAGGCTGAGAGGTTTACCCATCTCACCCTCCAGATCCATCTCCAATCCTGGAAAGCAACAGAGACCTTCATCCTGCTTCCTCCCAACTTTGGGGAATCAAAGGGATAATGGGAAAGATGCAGGAAAGGTTTGGAAGAGAGATGCTTTGAATCCCTTTCCCCAAACTGTATGATAAAACCCTGGAATCCACCTACATCGGGGTGGTGATGGTTGGCTAGGGTAGGGAGGGCCCTGGCATGTCAAATCAATGCACTTGGCAGACAGAAAAGCAGGCGCTAGTTCTAACTTTGCCACTCACTCTGTGGCCCAGTAATTCATTTTTCTGGGCCTTGCTTTTCTCAACTGTAAAATGGGGAAAACAATCATTCAAATGACAGATGCAACATTAAATACACAAATAACTGGGTTTCAGAATGTATCAGGCTGATGAGGCCAAAACTGAATGGTTGTGACTATATCTCATCTGCTCCTGGCTGGAGCTGATCCTGGGGGAGCCCAAGGCCTGGCTTCCCTGAAGAAAGTAATCCCTGGAAAGTAAGTCACTTCTTCTAGGCTGGTAAGATGCTCTGGATGCATTGGCAAGCTGGTTCTAGAAACAGACTAGGGAATAGAACCCCTCCCAGGGAACTGCTGTGAATAAACAGACTGTGCTATGCTGCAGACAGAACATTGGCCCTACCCAAAATTTTTCTGCAGTGGAGGATTTAGTTAGGGGTCAAATGGATGGGAAGCCTAGAAACTTTAGAATGAGCAAGAGCAGGAAAATCCCCCAAGGGATGCCTAGAGGACATGGATAGGTACGCCACATGGCCAGGTATGCCACATGGCCAGGTGGTGTCTACATCGGACATGAAGGCCCATCCTCCCCTAGAGAAGAAATCTGGCCATCACTGATCTCACCTTGGGACACTGCTATCACACCAGTTGTTGTAGATCATTGACTATCATTGATCCTCATATTGGGGCATTGATTCCCTTTAACCAACTCTGAATTGGGGCATTGATCTCTATATTGGCATGTTGATTCCCTTACTCATCCCTATGGTGGGTCAATGATTCCTCTCAACCAACTCTGTATCAGGACATTGATCCCCAAGTGGGACACTGATTACTTCAACCAAATCTTCATTGGGGTATTGATCCCCACCTTAGAAGGGTGACTCCCTCTCCCCTCCAACTCTGGATTGGGACATTGATCTCACATTGGAGCATTGATTTGTTCTTCTCTCTCTGTATCTGGACATTATCCACCCACCAACCCTTGAATAAAGACATTGATTTTTACTAAGGTCTATTCATTCCAATCATTCATTCGTTACATCTATTGTATGTCAGTCGTGTGCTAATGATTGGGATCTCTGTTTTTCTTTTCTTCCTACCGTCAGTCTCCACATGAAGACTCTGATCCCTCTTCAACCTTCCAAGTTGGACACTGACCCACCTCCCTGCTTCTATCACCCCATTTCCCTTCCCCAATACTTTAACTATGGTCTGTAGTGGTCTGTCAGATGAGGAGAGCCTAATGAAGTTGGGGGTCATATGGAGCAGATTGGAAAGAGCTAAGATTCTGGAGTCCTGACTTTGAATCTCAGACTTCACCTCTCCAGCCTCAGTTTCCTCATCTTCCAAGTGGAGACAGGAGACCTACTTTTCAGCTTCCCATAAGGATGAAAGGAGAGAATGTATGTGACGTGCTGAGCAGGATCTGGTGCAGAGAGAGCACAGTACTTTCCAGCAAGACTGTCCCTTCCCTGTCCTCTTTCCTCCCAGCCTGAAGAGGTGGTTCGTGAGGTGCCTGTGGCCCGTCACATTCTGCTGATGGTGCAGAGACCCCCCCTCTTTCCAAATCTACCACGGGCAGCATCCCGCATGAAGCCATTTTCTCACAAAATTTCAGATCTCGCTCTCATTTTAAAAAATTCTTATTAGACAGATAGCGAAGAGGAGAGCAACTCTTCCACCCTGAGCCTGTGTGTAATTACATATTTTGGCCGCGTGCTGGGTCTGGGATAAATCTGTATGGTAATGCAGGCCAGGGGCTTACCATGTAGGCACACATGCTAATTTTTAAACCACAAAATCGTGGCTGTTTTTCATTTTCATTTCCGACAACACTGGCAGAGATTAGGTCCTATTAAGCACCATGGGGTCTGTCCTCCCCCGGCCACCTGCGGGCTCCTCGTGCCTCCCCTGGGTTTGCTGGGCCTGGTGCGGAGACAAACACAGCCTGCCTAATGGTCGGGCAAAGCTCTTCCCAGGAGGTGCCCAGGTTGGCAGACTGAGCCTGTCTACCCTCCTCACCCCTCAGGGGGCTGGGGCTAGGTCTCCCTCCACCTGGGGAGGGAAGACTCAGAACCAGTGCCCGTGGGGACTGAAACTCCAGGTTGATGCCTCTCCTCACAGGAAAGGAAAGTCAACAGCCCTCCCTAAAGCCCCCCCGGGTGTCCTCAGGACCTGAAAGAGCAGGACTGACCCTTCAGTCCTTGTTTAGCCCCATCTAGACGTGTGACTTTGTCCCTGGCACTTCCCTTCCCTAGATGTCTTTTTTCCATCAGTCAAGCCCACGGGAGTACAAAAAAGGCGATTTGATTATTCCTCCCAGTTCTTAATATTCTGAATTTGAGTTTCTTGTCCCTCACTAAAGGGCAAACAAAGCAGGGGTGCCAGCCTCACACAGGTTACATGTGAACTTGTTGAGCTGTAAACTTCTGGTATCTCATTTAATCTCCCCATACCCCCCCACCCCCACTCCTGCAGCAGAATGCTAAGTAGCAAAGCCCAGATTCACCACTCACTGGCTGGATGATCGAGTTTCTCATCTGTACAATGGGCATGTCATTGATTATAGTACTACTTGATAAAATGTTCTGAGATCAGATGAATTGTCACAAAGTACACAAGAGACCTGGAACGGTGCTGGGCACCTGGTCGGCATGACATCATTCTGCCTGTTATTTTATAGATAAGGAGCTGGAGACTCAGAAAAGGATAAGTAACTTACTCAGGGCCACAGAGTTGGAAACCAAGTCCTTGTGATCTTCCCAACAGATGCTCTGACCCTGCACCTCTTCCCTACACAAAAGCTTCCTGCCCCATCTGGGCAGCAAGCAGGGACAGGTTGTCTGGCTCCCTTTAGTTCCCATCCCTGAACAAAAATGGCAACAGAGAGATGCTAAAATCAGCAAAGGAGTCTGGGGTTCTGGCCTGGCTGCTACCTTGAACATTGACTCCTAGGGGTTCTGCGGCACAGGGGATCTGGCCCAGCCTCCACCCATTGCTTGGGGTCTGCCAGACCTCTGCCTGTCTGAGGAGAGTGGAGGACAGGATGGGCTGGGGGGAGGAGCTGGCTCAGCCCCTTTCCATTCTCCCTCCATCTGTACCCAGAAGCAGCCAAGCGTGGCCGGGCCACCCCTCCCACTCCACCCCTCAGCATTCTCCCCTTCAAGGCGAGGGCTGCCCCGTCTCTGGGGGGGACCTGGTCTGTGCTCAATTTCATGCCACTTAATTCCCAAGTCTGCCCGTGAAAATGGCGACAAATCGGCCCCAACTGCCCAAATGTCCTGTCCCATTTCAGACATCTCTGCCACAGCCCCTCCTCTGACTGACAGCCCCTCAACCCTAAGACTCGGGAAGGAAGTGTCTTTGGTGCCAGGGCACTTGCCCTGCTCTTTCTCCACCCTACATGCATCCCTTCCCACAAGAGCCAAGCCCGGACCCAGAGCTAACCCGGCACCTGCTCCCTCAAGTGCACGGTCAAACGCCTGGGCACTGCTTTATTTGAATTTGAATATTACTTTAATGCTTATTCTTTTATCCATTTGTTTAGTTTTTAAAGAACAATTTATTTTTGGATAGGTAACACAGTCACATGATTCAAATTTCCAAAAGCAAACAAGAGAAGGTGAAATGGCTCCTTCCCATACTCGTGCCAGTCTCTTGAGTCTCCCCCACGCCCTAGTTCCCATCCCAAGGACAACCAATATCCCCAGACTCTTGTCTATCTTTCCAGGGCTCTGTTCTGTAAAAAGAAGCAAATGCACCTCGTCTTTCTCAATTTTTCCACAAATGATGGGAAATTGTACCTACCAGTCTACACCTCATTGTCCCAAATTTTGTGTCTCTGTGACCAGAGTCTCCTTTTTCCACCCCATGGGCTGTTTCCCCTCTCCTTGCCCATCATAAAGGTTTTAAAGCCTGACAGACCAGAACTCCCATCCTACTTCAGCCAAATACTCTCTGGGTGAACTGAGTAAGTTCACTTTCCTCTCGGGCCACAATCTCCAAATCAGTAAAATGGGAATATGAATGTACAGCACCATGCAAGACTACTGGGAAGAGCTGAGCAACAACCACCAAATGCCAGGAGACGAACCACAACTGTTCAGTCCTTTCCCTCCTCTCTGTCTTCCATCAAAAGCTGCTACTTATCCTTCAAGCTCTGGGTCAGTGTCACCCCTTCTGAAGCAGCCTCTGCTGAAGGAATTAGGACTCTTCTTTATATCAATGGTACTTCGGAGGAGACAGTGTGTCATTGTGGGGTGCAGCTGTACTGTGTGCTGCAGCTGTTTATACACTTGTAGGGACAAGCTATGAGTGACTTAAGAGCTTCTCAGGAGCAGGAACTGAAATACTAAGGTGTAAAAATGCACCGCCTTTCTCTCCCCCACCATGTCCTCATACCTAAGTTGATGAGGACAGGGACT